TATCCCCTCCAGCCGTCGAACAAAGAAAATACCAACGGAAACTAACAGAAGAGAACGTGTAACGGGGATGGAATTTTAATTCGATACACATTCGTGTGTTTGTCATTTGGAAATGAGTCGGGCAGCGGGAACATTTGCAACGGGGGCGTGTTGTATCGACAAGCAGACTCTCGCGTATCGACAACAACGAGGATATTTAATCCGGCAATTGAGAACATGTAGAAATTTCCAAGGTAGCGCGGACCGTCCGTCGTTGGTTGGTTGGTTGGTTGGTTGGTTGGGCGCACGCGCGCGAATTTAATTCAACGTCACTCTTTATCATGTGACACCGTCGAAATTGCGCCGTCACGAAGATTTACCATTCTAGATCCAGATGAACCGGACACACACCGCGAGGGAATAACGCGGGGTGGGGACCGCGAGGATAGAAATTGGACTCTCGCCGTGCTATTTCAAAAACGGCCGATCCTCTTTTCGTTCTGTTACGCGGGTTTTATTCTTTGAACGATTCTCGTTGGAAGCGAGAGATATGGTAGGGAAACGGAGGGAGAACGACGACGTTTCGTATGTGAGATGGAAAATTGGATGTTCGAAGATGCAGTTCCGTTAGGTTTCATCAGCCGAATAGAGGCAGCTCGTTAGAAGCAGGACCTAGCAAGTCGATTAATATGTGAAGGAGCAGCCCTACCTAAAAAGTGACTTAGCAACTGCAATGCATACTAAGCAACCCTTATGCTGCTGCTGGCTCCGTGTAACTCTCACCGAGACTCCTCCTCGTCTAACTTTCCGCTCCTGCCGCCGCTATCGACTCTCCCTCTAAGCCCATCTTTATGGACCAGCAACACCATATCCAGCCCAGCCCTGACAACACGGATATCTACTTGCACCTACAGACGCACCCGCGAGTATTTAGAAGCTATTACACGCGACATTCACGCGTGATCTGGCTCTCTGTACAGAGTGTTCTCCCGATACACAGAAACGAGTCGTTTGTCTAGGATAATTCTTTCGTATCGAACACCCTGTAATGCAAGCTCGAGCGCAAGTTTCATTCTACCCAGCAATCTCATTTACTCCGTTTCTTCCTCTCTCCATCTTTCGTTCTCTCAGTCTCTCTCCCCCCCTCGTTCAAGCTTCCTTTCGCACGATATGTGTGAATATGCGGTGGGTGAGATGCACATGCGTTTATGGAGAAGTAGAATGCGATGGCTTGGAAATGGATGGAAATCGAAAGCAGAGTTCTAAACTCTACCGATTCTCGTTTGATAAACCGTGAAAATCTCGCCGTCTCTTTCCATTCATTCGAGGCCAGAGAGTAAAGGGAAAGGTGTCCCCTCGTGAAAGCGTTATCAGGATTGTTTTTTTTAACCCAGCGCGCATGCTCAAATAGAATGCAAGAGGGCATCGAAGAAAGCGAGGCAATGATCGCTGACTACGGGGAGAGAATGAACAAAAAAAAAAAAAAAAAAAAGTATCTAATGTTTCACGTGGTAAGAGAAGAAGGGGATGTTACCTGGTGCATGGGATCGTAGCCCATCGAGCCGTCGTTGTACGGTTGCGAGCCGTAGTCGCTACCGTTTATGCCCATTCCGTATCCGGCCATGTCTTGCGGACCACCGGGTGGCGCCGGGGACATCATCGGCGTCGGGGTGCCCTGGCTTGCACCACCCATACTGTACGGCGACGCTCCTGCAAAAGCTGCTGTAGAAACAATCGCGGTGCATACAAAATTCGAGGGTGCGTCTTTTAAGTTCTTCCGCCTCACCGATACATTTCTGTCTATCTTTGCGAAAAAAAAATCGTGAGCTCGTTTCTAAATGTCTTTAGCGTAATCGGTGGCGCCTTACTTCATACTCATCCTTTTCGGGGGCCTAATTTTCTTTCTGTTTTCCTCTTTTTCTCCCGTTAAATGCACGCGATATATCGAGGTTCCGGATGTTCTTTGGAAATTAATAGACGCACGCCACCGATTAATCAGACCGACAAATGTATCGTTAAAATATGTATGGCAATTAAGAAAGACTGAACGAATTATCAATCCATGTACGGATGAAAGAAGAATCTGTGACGTAAACGTTTGAACGAAGGATATGCAAGTAGGGGAGAGGGTTGTAAATTAGCCGTTAGGGAAGAATTTTTCTTCCGAATAGTATCTGAGACGAAGTAGTATCTCGAGTGTCGGGGCGCCAGTATCGCTGGAATTCCGTTTCTTTAATTACGAGAAGACTGCCGGCGCGCGCGTTTAACAGGGGGAAGCGTGGCTCTGGAGGAAAGGCAAACACTCGAAGGGTGTCGAAAGAAACGCGAGAACACCGGCATCTCATCACCCACCGCCCGCCATTCTACTCCTCGTCTTTCCTTCTCCTCCTTCTTTGTATAATTGGTAAGTTAAAAATATCTCGCCTCGCTCTCTAAACTGAAGAGAGACGCCTCGGTAGTTAAGGGAAGTACGCGTAATTGCGAGCAGCAAGTCCTGCGAACGCGTGGAATTTCCACGAGGAAACACACCCCGTGGAATTTTTCTTCTAATTTTCTCGAGAATGCGAAAGAGGTGAAATACAAACGAACCCAGGATGACGTGTTGCAACTGAGGAAGATCGTTTATCTTGTTTCACGGGCCAACCAGCCAGCAGGCTCGGCTGAATTTATTTACAGGTAGATAATTTATCGGCGATCACGTTTCGGAATTAGACGAATCTTGTTTCTCTTCTTTTTTCCCTCTTTTTTTCTACGTACGAAATCGATAATTTCGTTTCCACGTAAAAGATTTATTAGCCAGCCGCAATAATACTGGCACGGCCCAAGCCGAACAATGAGCAGTAACTCAGAGTCACATAATGATTTACAGTAATGAGAAACCACGCCACGCCACCACGCCACGCCATGCCACGCCGAGCAATTTCTTCCCCATCCTAATTTCAAGTTCGATGTGTAAATGACTGGTGTGGCGATGAAGTCGGAAGAGGTGCCAAGAAACGTTACCGGAAATTTCACGAAATAGCCTGTCGCGTGTTAAAAATGTAAAGGGAACGTGTTATATTGACTGATTGTACGTCGTTTTCCCAACAACGTTCCCTCCCCACAAGGTATCAACTTCTAAAGATCAAGCAGAAAAAGAGAAGGGAACCGAATCTTTCAGCCGTTTGGATTTTAATTAAAAAATTTCTTTTTCATGTTTTTATCGATTACTATCCTTGATTCGAGCAAGCTATCGAAACGAACTCTTCAAGGAACACCCGTCGCTCTTTTGCGAAGGACGGAACTTACCAGCTGCCTTTTTGGCTGCGTACAAGTTCGCTTCCTCCTGTGCTTTACCTATGTTTTTCTTGTAGCGTATCCTCTTGTTGCCGAACCAATTGGAAACCTGCAACCACGACAGACAAACCGTGCAAACTAGCAAAGAAATTGTCGTGTAACTGAACAGCATAAGAAGCTTTTTTTTTTTTCTTTTTTTAATAAACGTTCGAAATAATAGACGTTGTGATATTCACGCGCGGATATCGGAAAACGTTCGATCTAAGCTTATTTAAGAAAATGAGGAAATAGTCGCGGGCGGATATCCATGCGATTTTGCCGTTACTTAATTCCAACGAGTGCATAAATTCCAGTTATCGCCGGAGAAACGACGCAAGATATTTCGTTCTACTTTACCTGACTCACGGTGATTCCGCATTTTCGTGCGAGCTCTTCCTTCGCCTCTTCGCTCGGATAAGGATTACTCAGGTGCGAATAGAAGTATTCGTTCAGGATTTCGGAGGCTTGTTTGCTGAAGTTTCGTCTTTTACGCCTGTAACAGAAGACGCGGAAGATTCGTCTGTGAATTTTCCTACTCGCGAATGAAACATTTCGAAACGAAGGGTATCGAGGAGCTTTCTACACACCTCGCGTCAAGGAATCGACTCCTCAGGATCATCACTGCCTCGCAGGTGGACTGTTTCAACTGCATTTGGATGCTGGAGAATTTCTTGTGAATGATCTGGACCATCCTCTCGATCTCCTTGGGCGTGATCGGCCTGGTGCGACTCTGTTCCCTCAGTAGATTCATAACGTGTGTCGTGAACTCGTTACATGCCTGAAACAATCGTCGAGATCCATTTTATTCTAACGATAATTTAATCAACTTGGTAGATCGGCTGAAACTAGCCAGATAAGAAGCATTTTTCTAGAGTTTCAGCGATGAAAACCATGGGCAAACAATTCCCCGCCTCCTTCGGATGCGAGTAAAAGAAGGGTCGCGTTTGAACGTCGGAGGACTGCTGACGCTTCGAAGCAAGAACGGAACCGTGGAAGGAGAACCATCGCGAGCAAGAGAGAGGGAAGGAAAAAGGGAAGAACGAGGTAGGTAGGAAAAAAGCGAGAAGAAAGACGCGTACGTATAATGCATTATTCCTGGTGGCTGGTCGGTTTAAGGGAAAAAGGACTTTGCTCGATATCAGTATTCGAGGCGAGCACACGCTACCTTCGTGAGGGAGCGACGAAGGGACGCGGGTGCACGAGAGAAAGGAAGGGAAAAGGTGGGAGGAGGGTGGATTTTCCTGAGGGAAGGCGCTAGAAGGAAGAGGTTGTGCCAGGGGAGAGAGAGGTCGGACAGGGTGGCTCGCAATTTCGAAATGGATTCCACTCTGCCGCCGTACCCCGGCTCTCTCTTCGTCTTTCTTCCATCCACCCTGTTTCTCTTCCTTCTCTCTCTCTCTCTCTTTGCTCACGAGACTTGGTGGGGTGGATCAGCTTCATTCCTGCCTCGACGCCCGCCAGGACGAGGGGCTTGGGACGATCTCTCGAGTAGGTGGATTGGATGGAAAACCCATAGAGAATTATGTCCTTCCTCGCTTCTTCTCTCTGCGTCCGTGTTTTCTCCAATTTTTAAATTATCCACCGAACAGAAATGATATTTGGACGAATGGCCAGGCCGATATGCGTGGCCGAGAGAGACCAGATGCTGTTGCACACTTTACACACCGCTGCGGCTACCCGAAATCGTCGTTGGGTAAATAGAGCGATCGTTTGAAAAACTTGCGACGTAAACCAGTGTACTAAAAATGATTTATAAAACGGCCAGGCATCGTGGCGTAACAGATAAAACGTATGCTAGGAGAGGATTTAAGGGTGTATAAATCGAAGCGAAACGGAGACGAACGTGCTCGTAGACCGTCGTAGAACCCGTACGATTCAATGAAGCTACGAACAGACATTTTCGAAAGGGGGGTGGACTATAAAATTTCAAGACGTCGATATCCATCCGTCTGCAATCGCAAAAGCCAACAAGTGTTTCTCCTCGGGTGACGGTCGTTAATCTGTCTCTCCTCCCCCGCGCGTGAAATGAGTTTTCTCATGGTGGCTCTAATTTTACTGCGGTCCGCTCTATTAATACACATGCACGTATTTCGAGGATATAACGCCACCGAGCTTCTGGCTCTCGAGCGTTATCGAAATTCCAACCTGAACGCTGCTAAATATACCTGGTCGCGGTTACGCTTGCCGCGGTTGTTCTGCGGTTGCCGCAATATACGGCAGCCCCCTTTCTTACGTAATCGAATTTAGCGTTCGCGGAAATTTTCCGCAACGAATTACTTCCGAATCTTGGTCTCGGCTTAGAGACCCCCGTCGTGTGTCTATGGCGAAACAAATGGGAAAAGTACTCGACAAGTTTAACGCTCGCTGTCTCGCGTATACACCTCGCTCGTTATTTTAAAGCAGTTTCTGCGCGAAGGAAAAAAGAATTGGTTTTTTAACGTTTTTCGTTGAAAAGCTGAAGAAAGTTGAGGGTAGGTAGGTAGCGACGGGGGAGAAAAAAATGAAGAAAGAGGCGATAAGAG